CTTTTATTTCTAACAATCTTAATCTTTAGTCCCTTCAAATAATGTCCTAGAACTTGATTTCTTTTCATTTTTTCTTTGTCTCCTCTCACAAAGTTCTTCAAAACTTTAACAAGCCTCTTTTGTAAACCCAATATAGAAAAATTATCCAGGTCACTCTCTTGGTTTATTGTTTGTATATCTCTTCTGATTATTAAGACATCAGCTGGTTTCTTTTGTATGTCCAGTGTAACACCTTTTTCCATATCATTCTTGTAGCCTCTCATTTTTAAATCCACTTTTAGATCAGTCTCAATCTTGTCAGATATAACCTGTTTCTCTTTTATAACATATTTTAAACACAGCCTATCTATAGAGGCAGACACTCTTAAAATTAAGTTCTGAATCGATTGTTCAAAAATATCCTCCAGTATGTCTAAGAATATTTTGCTTTATTCTGTAATTGCAAGTTGAGTTTGAGTGTTCTTCTTCTTTAATTGTAATATTTAGTTCCCTCTAGTGTCCAACTTTTAAAGCCTTATCTTATATATTTTTTTAATCCAAAGCAAAAGTATTTGTCTACAGGAAGGATTCTTTATAATTAATTCCAAAAACTTATTTCAAATTTATGTGGACTCTTAGCCTAGTTGTAACTTTCTAAAATCAAAGTTTTAATCACCTGTTTGCTGTTTACTCCCCGCCCCCCCGCAATTTTTTTACAGTTCTTAAACCTGTAGTTAAAACTTTCTTTCACTAAGGATTGAAGGAAACTCACCCGGTGCTATCAAACCTGTTGACCCAAAGGTTTCCAACAGCTGAAAAGCAGTTAACAAGCAATTTCCAAAAGTGATTAGTGAACACAGAGTCCTTTCAAAGGTGCTGAATGCGGTTTGAGCAAGATGGCTATTCTCTTGTCTTCCAAAGCTCTGAACCTGCCAGAGACCACTGTCTTGTGGTCTTCTTGCAAGGAGCAGCTGTCCGGAGCCCTTGTTGGTGATGTCAAGTTTTCTCCTTGTCCAGAGAGGAATTATCAAAGAGTTGGTCTACTCACCAGCTCCTTATGCACCACAGCCACTGGCTCCACTTTTTGCGGAGCCATCTTCAGTCCGCCATTTCTTTCTGCAGAAGAGAAAGAAATTTCTCTTCTGAAGAATTTTTCTGTTCCTTATTCTTTTCTATCTATACTGTATGCTAAATGTTGTAGGCTGAGCAACCTCTGTCAGCAAATGAGCATCTCCACCAAACACATTTCATCCTGTCTCCTCACAGTAGTTGCCCCACTTTCTTCCTTCAACTTATAAGGAATTCCAAATGGCTTCTATGCTTTCAATCATTTGTATACACCACACACCCAGAAAATCTTGTCACTCTGTAAAGCAGGAACAGGCAAGGTGATCCTGACGGAGAGATTTAACTCAGTGGACACAGGTTGCTGGTTCTCCTGTTTTTATTTTTTAGATAATTTTAATTTTGGAAAAAGATTAAATTGAAAACTGGCATTGTTCAGAGGAAAGTACCAACTATTAGCATTGACTTAATTTATAGGAATTCTCTGAGTTGTACAGTTACCGAAAACCACATGAAATTGTAGTCCAAGTGCTTTGTCCGAAAGTCCATCCATCTGCCCAGAAAAAAAAAGAAGATAAATTGAGGTTGTGAGGAAAGTCTAGAGGGTGGCAGGGAGGAACCTCACCATTCTGAGGTTGGTCACAGTGGCCATGATTGCCATTTTGTGAAATGGCAAACCACTCTGGGGCAACCAACTTGTGAAAATGAACACAACATGCTTGAAAAATTCCAGAGGAGCTCCCAACCCTCTCTCCCTAAATTTACTTCTGTATTGTGGTATAAACTTTTACAGACTGCAGGGTTCACTTGTTCAGACGTGCAGAGTTATTGTTTTTCTTAAGCAGAAGAGCTAAAGAATAGCTGGGTGGGATTACTAGAGGTTATCTCCTATGCCAGTGTACCATCTTTTCATAAATCCTACATAAACGGCCTGGCCATCTTGGGAAGCAATAATAAACCAGAATGGCTGAAACTTCCAGTTTCTCTCTTACGGGCACCGAATTTGTGTGCATCGCTCTGGTTGTGGCTATTCGGCACCTTCCGCCAGTCGGAGTGACCGAGGAAGCAAAAGCTCCATGTTACAGTCAGAGGGGCATCTTGTGGGTGGCATGTGCAACTAAGCTGCCTTTGAGCCTCCTCCAGACAATATGCAGCTGTTGTGCATTGTTAACACTGGCTGATGGTCAGTGCTTAAAGGAGGTGGCCCCCTCTGGACACAGAGAAACAGATGCACTTCTAGAAAAGAAAATTATAAATCAAGAGAAGGAAGCCAGGAAAGATGTTGGCGGGCTTAAATCCCTTTTCTTCCCCTTTCCCTCCCCATCCTCCCTCTCCCTCTTCATTTTTTCCTCGGTTTTGCTAAGAGGAACTGTTGTTTTGAAGGAAGTGCTCTTGCTGGAGTTTTGTGCTAGCGCTGAGAAGGAAAAAGAAAACGGGTCTGGCCCTTTAAGGTGCCAGCATGAACTTTGGCCTACTTTGGGAAAGCACCACGTGAGGGCTTGTTTGTTTCTCTCTGAATCTCCCTGTTCCTTCCCCGGCCACATCCCATTGCAGTTGTCAGGGAAACAAGCAGGTGGTGGAGAGAGGTATCAAAAGGCACATAAAGAACTGAGAGTCAAGTTCATTCTTCTGGCTTCTCCCTGTTTGCCCCCGGTCCCCACTCTAAGTGGGTTTTGAAAACCTCTTTGTTTTCCTGCGGGGAAGCTTGGCTGTTGATCCTTTGCAGCCTGCAGATCCGGAGGCACGGCATCCTTGCTGGAGACGGCAGCCTCCATCCTCCAAAGGCGCTGTGATTCATAATTATGGGCTTTGTAGTCCTGAGCATCCAGGAACTTTCCAGTGCTGAACAGGTAATCCTTGCATCAAAATCGTAACATGCGTAGAAATACCAGCCTTCAAAGGAGGAATCACAATACCAGTATTGAATGCAACACAAGAAAAATCATCAAAGACATCAAGGGCTACCTATATTATTTGAATTTAATTACATACTTATGAATCAATCATGCTAGTCCCCTTTTGGTCTAAACAACATTATGCAGGATGCATTAAAAGAATAACAAATAGTAAGCCGAAGGGATAAAGGCATGAGATATGAAAAGGAAATGTAGCTAAGATTTCTTTATACCAACAGATGCATTATACCTCTGCATATCTTTCTATTCTGGTAAACCACCCTTCTCACCTGCCCTACTTTTGGTTAATTTAGTCTCTGTCATTCAGAGACAAAAGAGAACTTCAATTATCTTTCTTTCTGTCTCTTCTGCTTCTCTTAAAAAATGTAGTTTAGATAAATGTATCTTTTCTATTCTCATGTACTGCTTAAAAAATCTACTTTTTACTTCAAATACCATGAATGTCCATTGGTATCATGGATAGCTGAGCTAAGCCCATACTCTCCATTTACGGCAATTATGTTATGAATATTTTATATTTATTTATAATGGGATGTTCTGCAGCTTAGTTTCTCAGTATACTTTTCAGCACTCCACTAACATTCAGGTGAAGCCTCTAATAAGGACTCTGGCTGAATTCAAAACTCTGACAGGATTATGGGCCCAGACTAGCTGTGAGCTACTTGATAAACAGAAGGAAAGGATTATAAATGTGTAGAGATCCCAGGACTGGCAGAGTAAACGTAAAAAGACAGTAAAGAGTAAGCTAGGAATTTTGTTTGCTTGCTGGATGACGATGATGATGGTGGTGGTGGTGGTGGTGACGATGACGACGACTTTTGACCCTTGGCAGGGAGGGAGGGAATGAAGATGCAGGCTGCAAAAGACAACATGCCTCAGACATTTTTTATCTTCAGAGGCCAGGGTTGAAAAAAATGGCCTCATTGCATGGAGTTGTTCTGGAAAACCTTGGATTAGGGCTACTTCTAGAAATGCAAAGGCTCTTTGAAGGTCAGGAGCAAAAAAAAGTTTGGGAAGCCAAAAATCAGAAAGCCTGTCCACATATTTTTGGATATGTAAATACTAATATGCTTGTTCATATCAGGGAATTCAGAAATGTGAAAGAGGCTTGGGCCAAATTAAAATTTACCATACAAAAACCATAGGTTCTGCTCTGCGTCTGATGGAAAGAATGAACTCTTTAGGAATGTAGGGTGGCACAGGCAACTTAGACTATGTCAGCCGAATACCTGATCTTAGGAGGCTATTTAAAAATAGTTATTGCAAGATAAAGACCCAGTTTGGTGTAGTGGTTAAAGGCATCAGGCTAAAAACTGGGAGACCGCGAGTTCCTGTGCTGCCTTAGGCACGAAGGCAGCTGGGTAACCTTGGGCCAGTCCCTTTCTCTCACCCCTGGGAAGGAGGCAATGGCAAATCACTTCTGAAAGCTTGTCAAGAAGACTGCAGGGACTAGTCCAGGCAACCATTAGGAGTAAAAACTGACTCAAAGGTACCAAAAATACCATCTCCACTACTACTGCTACTATCAAGATGATATTATAGTTGCTTTCCTTTTGATGTCTCTGCCCCAACACTTAAATGTGCTGAAACAAGCAATAGTGAGGTCAGATAATATCCAGAGTGCTTGAGCAGCAATCCCTAATGGGAACAAATTCTGTGTATGAACAGAAGCCTCTCTTTTCAATGCTAGAGGAAAATCCTGTATTATCTGCAAAAGCAAATCACACCATAAAGCATTTGGCCCACAGAAAGAAAAAGAGCCCAGCCGGCATTTTACAGATGCAAATGGAGGGAGAACTAGATGGCGGTTTCTCCTGACAGAGGAAGGAGAAAAAGTTAAGGCAGGAAAAGGCTGAGGAAGAAGGTGAGGCTGTGCTCAAAGGGCCAAAAATGAACAAAAAGAGGATGCCAGAACCATCAGAGATGGTGCTGATCCGGACTCAATTTAGCTGAGTAGTGAAGCAACTTCTCCAGTATTTAAAAACAAATATTTTTTTGGTTGAAG